GCTATAGCTCAAGTGGTAGAGCACTCGCCTTGAGCTGAAGAGCTGAGGGACAGCGCCCAGGCCCAGAGTTCAAGCCCCACGACCGACAAAAAAAAAAGAGGATGACCATCCCCAATAGAGGAGGACCGGTCTTCGGTCAAGGGTATACGAGTAGCTGTGCTCCCCTGCTAGAACCTCCAAACAAGCTCTCAAAATCCTACTCTGGGGTTGGGAAGGTGGCTCAGTGGTAGAGCGCTTGCCTTGCATGCCTGAGGGGGGTTCGATTCCTCAGCACCACATAAGCAAAAAGAAAAACCCCGGAAGTGGCACTGTGGCTCAAGTAGTTGAGCACTAGCCTTGAGCTGAAGAGCTGAGGGACAGTGTCCAGGCCCAGAGTTCAGGCTCCACGACTTGACCCCCCCCCCAAAAAAAAAAATCCTACTCTGTATGTGGGTGTAAATACTGGTCCAACCATACTACACTTTTTCTCTTTGTCACTTCCATTCCTTAACTCCAAAGGTAGTGAGCTTACACAAACAGGCCAAAAGAAGTCTGACTTGAGACTCTACAAGCACTTCTTTGAAGGGTAGTGTGGAATAGTAGTCCAGGATAAAACTGCCTGCTTCAGATATCAGCTTCCTACATACTAGCTGGATTACCCACAGTCATTTGATTCCATGATTCAACTTACTCTTCTGTACAATACTAAAAGCACTATAACTTACAGGGCTGTTGTGCAAATTAAATTTGAGTAGATATAGCTAACCCCCCACCCCCATCAGTGTTTGGTATAGGATAAGCACCACACAGAACTACTTCTTTTCTTCTCTTCAAATCTGTAGAATATATTAATTCTATTCAGAGCCTTTAACATGAATATATTGTACATAGGGTTAATACACACCCTAAATATTGGTTTAGTGGGGGGAAAAAAATCATACAATAACCAGAGGTGTTTTTGCTAGCCTCATACAAAGATCTAACTAAGGATTTATATATATGTGACTTTCTTATAAAGTTTGAAATCAATTGTATATACTGTCCTTAAGAAGATGCCTTTCTTCTTAAGAAAGAGAATTTTTTTCTTTTCTCCTTTTTCCTAACACTTAGGGAAGTATACCTGGCCACAGAAGCCAGGCAAAAGTATTTGCTGAATGTGGTAAATGAAAATGCATTTCCAAAATAACCAGCTCTCAGATGTGCCATTTTAAATAAACCATCTACTTGCCATAGTTCCAATATTTTAACCTATCAGAACCAGTTTACAGTGAAACAAGTACCCACAAGAAAACTGTCTTTTGCCCCCTTACCCTACAGACTGTGCAGGTGTATATTAAGGCAGCTTTGGCAGCAGCCTTTTGATCATGTCCTTGTTTCTTCTTTTGTCCAGCCTGCTTTTTGGCATTTTTCTGCTGAGACTGAATCTTCTGCTGTCCACGAGCCATATCTAAAAACAGAAGTTAAGTCATTAGAGTCATTTATTTATGCTAGTACAGCATTATCTAAGCACAGTAATGTTCTCAGAGTTAAAGCCTTAAAGTTTATAAAAAGGTTTGACAATGGAAACGTTTGGGTTCTCAAATTCTCACACACAATGCTACTAGACTTTAAACATCTTAGTAGCTGTAGAAACCTGGCTGGTAGTTGTCTATGCTATAACTTGTCTACGCTTCTCTTGTAGTAAACAAAAACGCAAATATGTGTATAGCAAGACATGTATAAGAACATCCATAACACCTGCTCTAAAATTAAAAACAGTTCAAATGTTCATCAACTATAAAATGGATATATAATTTGTATGTCTGTGTTAATGTTTACATGTAAGTATATATACATACACAATGAAATACTATTTGGCATTCAAAGAGAATGATTATTAAAAGTAACATGTTTAAATCTCAGAGTTAAAGAAGTTGGTAACAAAGAATATAAATTGTGTAAAGTTTCCAAGCTATAGTGAAAGAAGTCACTTTGTCACTTATGGAGTAAGGACTAGGAAGACAAGACAGGAGGGTGATTTATGGGGTGCTGAAAATGTTCTGAACCCTAACTAGGTGCTAGTTACAATATATACTGATTTATAGAAACATATTGAGTTATATGTCTGCCTTGTTCATTTCACGTTATCTCCAAAAGTTTGCCCCTTGGGGTTGGGAAGGTGACTCAGTGGTAGAGTGCTTGCCTTGCATGCATGAGGCCCTGGGTTCGATTCCTCAGCATCACATAAACAGAAAAAGCGGTGGCTCAAGTGGTAAGAGTGTTAGCCTTGAGCAAAAGCAGCTCGGGGACAGCGCCCAGGCTCTGAGTTCAAGCCCCACGACTGACAAAAAAAAAAGAAAAAAAGTTTGCCCCTTCTAAAAAGAATTAGTTTCCATGTCATTTATTTGGTTATTTTGCAAAGGCATTTCTTCTTTTCCAGAATTCTCTGTTCTAACATGTGATTCTTTGAGCTGTCAGATAATCTTTCTAAAGGAGATTATAGAAACTATGAAATACTTGGGCTTAATAAAAACTAAAGGATTATTCCAATTTTTCTTTAAAAGCTAGTCATTGCTTGAATTATAAAACAATACTGAGTTCCAGCTAAAAAACTGAACTTGCCAGATCCTAGTGGTTCATGCCTATAACCTTAACTATGCAGGAGGCTGAGATCTGAGGGTTGAGGTTCCAAGCCAGCCCAGACAGGAAAGTCTCATCTCCAACTAAGCACAAGAACACTAGAAGTGGCACTGTGACTCAAAGTGGTACAAAGCTAGCCTTGAGCAAAAGAGCTCAGGAACAGTGCCCAGGCTGTGAGTTCAGGTTCCACAACCAACAGCAACAGCAGCAAAAGTCTGAACCCAATGGAAGGTACCCTTTACACTTTTTACTGATGATCTGAACTAAATAATAACTGAATAAATAAGTTAAATAAGTCACCAGAAAAAGTTTCTCGTACTTCCCCTTAAAAAAAATGAAGACTGGGGCTAGGAAGGTGGCTCAGTGGTAGAGTGCTTGTCTTGCATGCATGAGGCCCTGGGTTTGATTCCTAAGTACCACATAAGTGAAAAGAAAAAAGCCGGAAGTGGCGCTATGGCTCAAGTGGTAGAGTGCTAGCCTTGAGCTGAAGAGCTGAGGGACAGCGCCCAGGCCCAGAGTTCAGACCCCACGACCGGACCCAAAAAAAAAAAAAAAGAAAAAAAAATGAAGACTTTTAGTAGACAAAGCAAGTTAAACCTGGTTCATAAAACGTCCATAAATGAGTCTCCAGTGCTTTTACATGTATTAAAATTGGATCCTAAACAGAATTCCTATGTATTGCTCGAACTAGCACTGTAATTAAATTTTAAACTTTTAAATAATTGCAAAACACAAACATACAAGGATCAACATCAACTTCATCAAGAAAGAGTACTGGCTATTTTTTATTGGAACCCTGATGGACATAAAGCGAAAAGCTTTTCTGACAGACAGCTGAGCTTCCCTCCCCACCCAAAAGGGTATCTGAATGAATGTGTACACGTGCATATACACACATACACATACACACACACACACACACACACGTGCACGCATGGGCGCGCGAACACGCACACAAACACATACACACTGACTGGGTAAGTTCTTGTCATTAAACAATAAATTGAAAATGTAACACGTAGTCCAAAGCTTTAAGCAGTTTGACCATCTAGCAATTACAAAATGTTTAAAATGCTAGCCTAAGAACCTGACTCCCACCAATCAATGGTAAATATTACTAGCCATGATAGTCCTCTAAGATTATAAATTTCCATAACTTAAAATGAAAGAGAATGATACTAGACAGTAACTAAGCTAGTATCAGTCTTTGCTTTACAAACTTTTTGCTCTGTACATGGAACTGACACTAAAGTCTTTAAAAATAGATTAAATTTCTAGTTTCGATTTTTAAAATCAAAGCCTTAGTTCTAAGCTATACAATACTAAAAGTATTTTAAGCAAGGCACTAGTGGCTCATGCCTGTAATCCTAGCTACTCAGGAGGCTGAGATCTGAGGACTAGGGTTTGAAGCAGACAGAAAGACTTCTCCATTTAGCCATACCCTTGACTGAAAAAGCCAAGCAAGAGTTCGAGTTACCTGAGTTCAAATCCCAATACTGGCACCAAAAAAAAAAAAAGCATATTTGGTGTTCTTAATTGTCTCAATGTATTAGTATCAAGACTTTATATTAAAATACTTCAGTTTCTTCTGCATCTTAGTTCTTCTACACAATGTATTTTATGTATACGAAAACATCTTTCATGGAAATTTTTTTTTAAAAAAACAATTACTTAATGATTTAAAACTTTAATTTAAAATTATTTTTTAACACAGAATGGCAGACCATTAATTCCAGAAGTTTCCTCGGTATCTAAAATTAATTATTTTGGCAATATTTTCCTTCAGTGATGTATTCCAAAAATTATCTTAAGCAGAATTATTTTTAACTTTTGCCTATGAAACTTCTCTGAAGTAAAACATTACACAACAGATTTAACCCATTTTCCGATGTCACCTAACACCAGTAACAAGAAAGGCATAGTAAGGCTTTAATAAAAACTAGTAGTCGTGTTCTTATTTTTAAGAAAGAAAACCACACTAGGGAAAGGAAATTGAATGAAACACGTTAACTGTGTGGGGTAGGCCTCCCAACTTTTGACAGCACACTGCATTGATTTCCTTTCCGAAAGCAGAAGTGCAAATCCACAAACCACCTGCTTTTGGACAGCTCAATGTAGGACTTGCTCTCCAGCCAATCGAATTTTCTACAAAAATCTTATGCATAACTGGTCCTGGATTCCTGAGACAAGAAGTCGTTTATATAAGTTGCTACCTGCTGGATTTTCATGTGCCTCTGATTAAGTGCAGTTTTCCCAGGGGGTGGGGGGAGAAGCGAGTTAACTTTGAAAATCAGGAGCTCGGGCAACAAGTCAGTCCGGCCCCAGAGATCCTTTTAAAACAAAAGTCACTAAAAAGATGTTGGGATCCAGGAAATCGGCGCACTCTCCAGGAACCATCCGAGAGGGAGACGACGTTCCTTCAGCGATCCACATCTAGATCCCAGCCTTAAAGACGAGATGAAATAAAAAGGCACCCATTCGGGGCGAGGGGCGAGTGAGGCGGAGGGGGTAAAGGTCTCCTTCGCCCAGCACTCCAACCACCCGGCCGCACCCGCGCCCCGTCCCCGACCGGCCTCCCTCTCCCGCCTCGGGAGCCCCCCTCCTCCTTCCGGCCACCAGCCCTCACCTTCCCGCCCGAGCTCACGGACGGCCCGTGGCCCGAGACGCGCCTCCCGGAGGCCTCGACCCTCGGGTCCCGGCGGCCGAGCGGCTGCAGTCGCCGGCGGCTGAGGTTACGGCGCGGTTCCCGCAGCCAGCCTGCGACCCGGCCACCTGCAGGGCCTGGCCCGCGCCCGAGCGCCCCGTCCATTCCGCAGGAGTCCCGGCTCCTCCTCCATCCCGCAGCCCCGCGCCGAGACCCCCTTTCCGGTCTCCGGAGCGCCGGCGACCTCCCGGGCCCTCCACCGGCCGGCCCCCACCCGGTTCCCGGGCGTCCTGTGGCGCCAGCGCCGCCCCCGCTCACCCGGGCCGGGACAGTCCTGCGTCTGAGAGGCCGCGCAGCGCGAGAGGGCCGCGGAAGACACGGAGGGAAGGAAGCTGGAGGGCGCCCAGAAACGCCTCGGCGGCCTCCTCCACCCGCCAAGGAAGGGAAAGAGGACAGCCGGGAGCACAACAGCCCGCG